ACTACCCAAAGAAACTCGCATCTTACGTTACAATTGAAAATTTTTTCCGCATGTTTATTAATATTTCATTTTTATATCTGTGCATTATTATCTTGTCATATGTTGAATCGCATTTTGATTTTTATAATTTTATATCCTAAATTTGTTGTTGAATAGAAAACGGGACAGCACGATTCCTCTTAAATATTTCATAATCTAATGTCGTTTCTTTGAGCTGCCATCAAAGGAACTGAGTTTACTTGAGGGATAGCTCTGGGGTGATAGCGATAAAGAGCGCGCCTTTCGCCCCCACGTATCTGCCAATATTTATTGGCAAACCTAAGGAGAAGTTTTTGGAGAAGCGGTAGAAGGAGAATAGAGAGCGGCTGTCGAGGGATGAAATGCATATCTGGTTCTAAAATAAAAAATTAGTTGCGTATTATGTTTGACTAAAGTTTTGATTATGCAGTGTGAATATGTAATGTGATATGGACCACAAGAATCGAGGAGAGACCACAACGATTATTACAGTATATATATATAATCGTATGTTTAAAAATAAAAACCTGATATAAAATGGGCTGCAATTTCGCCTTCTATGCAGAACAGCAAGTGATCTGTCGACGTGAATTTGCAGTACAGAAACAAGAAATGAAAAAGAACACAACAAGTAAGCCTTTATTTTTTAAAATTCCTACTATTAGCTCACAACCTCCTATATCTTGTTCAAATTTTCAATCTTTAATAAAATAATTTTTATTCATCCACTCAAGTTCAAATACATGTTTTAAACTTGTAGTGGATGACACTTGATGTTAATACAGTTGTTTTATATGTTGAAGTCAATTCCCATTTATTTATTCCTGTTTATCGGAACTAAAAATATGCTGTTTTTTTAATATATTATAAGACTTACACATAAAGACCGTTTATTAGGAATTCTCACGTGCTGTAAAAATTAATTTTATAACAACTTAATAGCTAGAATATTGGCAATTACGTGAGACATGAGAATGAAGATTTGAACAAAAATAAGTGGCAACACTACGAGAGAGTTCTAAAGATTTTTAAAGTGTTTGAAAAAGAATCGTAGTTTTACAGAGTTGGATGAATCGGATACAATGTCCCATTAATGTAGCGAAATTTTCCCTTTATTTCTATGTTTAACGTACGTAATAATATATTTTTAAAATTAACCTTTTAAAAATTTCCCTTGCTTATTAAAATAATAATAGCAGCGGTAGATCAGGCATATATTCTAGGACGTAAACTCTTCGCTGCAGTTCAAGCATATGTCGCCTTGAGTCGTGTGAAATTATTAGATGGAATATTAATTGGAAAACTGGACTGTTCGAAAACTCACTATAAAGGTTCCTTGCAATAATGAAGCATTACAAGAGAAGGATAGAATGAGAAATTATAGACCACCCGCTTCTTCATGAATTAGAAAAGAAAAATTAATTATAATGTTAATAAAATGCAACTAAAATAAAATTTTTCTTTGCTGACCTAAGTAGGAATTTAATTTTGTTTTATATTACTTATTTTTAAATTCACTTAGAGTGTCATTAGGATGTTCATATATTTCGTTGTGCGTGTATAATATGAAAGCAAAAACAAAGCCGATATTTCTCTTTTTAAACGTGCTTTATTTAGTTCTAAAAAGAGTGCATTTTTTAGTTGTAAAGAAATATTTAATTTTAAATTAACCAGTTCTTATTCAGTTATCTTTTCTGGTGTTCAGCAGTAATTTGTCCTCGTCTTATCAGAGCTTATCACGGAATCCCACTAGGGGCGTCACACATAACGGCTCTTCATAATTGTTTCACCATAAAGATGTGAACACTTGAGGTTAATAAAATGAGACACGTTGTCTCTGCAGACTCACCGGCGGTGAGAGTGTGATGACCTGAAGTCCAATCAGGAGCGAGAAAGTAGTCATTTGAATCCTACTACGCAAACGTCAAAAGCAGTAAAGTCCTGAGTTACGCAAAGTTGGGGAGAAAGTTATGTTTAGAATTCTGTTATGCAGTGTTAGGTGTTGACTTACATTTTTCTACTTTTTCCAGTCTTTTGCCAGTTCATTATATCAATGTTCGGTTTTCTTAGTAAGATGGCTTATAAAACCATTTTTTGTGTGTTTTTATTAATAATGCTTTGTGTGTTAACTTTAATTATTATTAGATATCACATTCTACTTAAGTACATCACACAAACTTCAATTCAATCGCAAATAGTCTGTCGGCAGACAGCCGACAAATAGTCTGTCCGGCTGGAGATAAAAGTATTTTATTCCGTTAATGTTGACAGCACTCGCTTTCAAATTGTTGAATTTGATGAACAAAATTTTATTAAAGCACATCATTTTACGAAAACTTTTACAGTTTTACAAAATATGAAATATAAAATACAAATTTAAAATTCGGGTTTCCAGGTGCATATATTCCAGTGGAAGATAATGTTATTCGAAATTTAATGCCTCTAGTTACCGTCGTTTTCTCACAAAGCCAAGCATATGCGTGCGTACATGTGAATTCTTCATCATTTAATTTCTTGAAAGCTAATACAGGGCGATAGTATTTATTGGCAAGTTATCAGTTTAAGAACTTAAGGTTTGGTTTTTTTGTCCCTCCTTTTCTGTGCCAAGACACTGACTTGTTTGGTTAAATGGTCTAGACGAGTGTTTCTCAACCGTCGGTCCTCAAGAAATATTAGCCGGTCCGCGAAATATCCAGCTATCTGTCCAAACCCCAATGTGTTATCGGCCGATAACCGATATTACAACAGCACCTACATTACAATAACAATAGTTTACTAGTTTAGAAAATAATATGACCGATGATGAAAAATATAACAAACAGACAACTATGTACCTAATCGCCTTCCATAAATTGCCGGGCCGTACACTTATTTCACAAATTAGTGTCTGCCTTGAGTATCGCTGATTACTTGAACGCTGAGGTAATAAGAATATTACAATTAACGTAAGTAGTAATTTTTGAATACCTTGTCCTTTGGCAAAAGCCTCCTAAGATTTTTTTGGGGGGAAGGAGGGGCAAAAAAACCACCGCTCCACGAAATTGTTTCGTAAGTTTTACCGGTCCACGGGGCAAAAAGGTTTGAGAAGTAATGGTCTAGACGAGCAGTCGCTCGATGCACTACCTCCGAGACACGAACAGTTCTGATTGGGTAGCGATTTCTATCAGTTGACTGATGGACTGTCTCAATTTTGAAGGCGTACACTAAAGCGCTTTTTAAATCATTGACATACGCCATTCACAAGGTTTACTTTATCTCAGGATCCCAGATGGACATTAATTACAATTCATTTCTTCTCTGATGGTAAATATTTTCTAAATGGATGGTTACTGTGAAAAGAAACCAGAAGTATTTTAAGTATAGTTTTATAGTAATATGCATGGTATTTTTGTAAGACATGAATATTTTTCACAATTATATAACAAACAACTTAAAATATGAAATCACAGAATGTAATTTATAATTAAGAGTAGTAGAATTTCTGAATTTTGGTACATACTTTCATAAACCACATGCATAAACTGCTTTCAGAAAATATGAAATATTATTACTAATTTTGTATATACGTAAATAATGTTAGTAAAGCTATGCGTGAAATTGTAGTAACATTTGTATAATGTAACACGAAATGCTTAATAAGCTAAACTCTGCTTAAATAAGGTTACGGAGAATCTCTGTTATACGGAGAAGAGCTATGTACTTTTGTTGAAAAACAGAACTGTAAAGTGTTTCTTCTGGAAGAATAAATTATATTACGCTATTATCGGTTCTTTGGGCATTCAGTCCATTACGATCCCCTACACAAAAAGCAGTATTATAAGTTTGCATTAAACAAAAGAAAGATACCGTGTAACTAATCATAGAAATGTATAAATTAATCTAATAAAAAGCTCAAAGCGTAATCTAATGAATAGCACAATCTTATGTACTGTATTTAATATACAAGTCATTTGCTCTGAAATGTTGTGTATAATGATACTTTGCGACATTGGAGCATTGATAAAATATCCGAATTATAGGTAAATATATGTAGGAAACCCCCCCCCAAAAGTAAAAATGTAGCACTGCAAGAGCGCATTTCGTAACTGCTTTATCATGGTGTTATGCCTTATTAACATGTAATTTCCCCTCGCCAATTTGTCAACTGGCTAGGAAGATTGGTTGGTTTTAAAGAAGGAAAAGGATTGACTGATACGACTGGAAAGATACAACTACAGGAACACCATTGAAAACAAATTACATATATTTAACAAGACGAAAGGAATCTTTTTTAAAATGGAAGCGAAATTATGCCACGATTTACAACATTGTAACACCATAAAAATTACGTTTACTTATTTAAAATAATGTTTTCGCGCTATAAGGTTCTTAGAATAGCATACGTTGAATAAAAAAAGCATACTTTGAAAAACGCATACGTTGAAAAAAATATACGTTGAAAAAAGCATACGTTGTTCTTATGGTATTTCTATGTTGCGTTACGCAACTTTGTACGAACCATAAAATATTTTCGTATTAATTATTTAGTTATTAATAAAAATTAAAATTTCTAAAATGCTTCTATGATCTTTAAAATTTTTATTTGACTCCTGAGCAAATGCATGTAAACGCAATCATGAGCAAAACTTTGGTACATTGCCTAATATGTACTAAAGAATAATGCGTGTAAGTCATTTTCAGCTATCTAGATTTGCTGCGTCTCTTATTAAAAACTTTTCTTGGAAGAGGAATTCTATTTTCATCCATTGACAAGACTAAAAAAAACTCTGCATAAAATAAAAACACATTTGACGCTTTAGATGTGTATGATTTAACTTTTAATGCGCTTTTAATTCACATTGGAAACTTCGTATCCTCACCGGAAGGTTTTCTAATCTGCACATGTTTCCTTATCGATTTTATGCTCAGCGCATGAGCGGCTTCGATGAAAACAAACGATTCCTTCAGCCAGCGCATCATTTTCAAAATGCTGTTGACAGAGGAAGACATCGACCTCAAGTAGAGATGTCATCTAGTTGTCGACGACAAGAATCGCTGAGGTAAATTATTTTTCGATCTAGTTTTTTATTTTGTTCGTATTTAAGTTTAATTTGTATTTTAATTGGATATATTATTCTGACTTAATATATTTCGTGACCTAAAACGTCGTAATAATTTAAACACTTTGTTGACACTTTAGCAATATTTCCTTTCATTAGGCATTTAGTATATAGGCATCTTAATGTTCCCGAAAAATGGAAACACTTGTTACCAATGTTCCGGTGTTCGCTAAAGCAGAAAATCGTCACACTGATTCATAAATATTGACAGAAAACAAAATCCCACAACAAAAAACAAATCAAATCTGTTTCTCGTATGTTCAGAATTAGGAAAATCGCTTTTCAAATCGCTGAACTTGTTAAACAAAAATTCATTAAAATTTTACAAAATAAGTAAGAAAACAATTTCGAAATAAAAAATTCGAGAATATATTTGAAGAAATTAAATAATAAAAAATCTGCATAAATGTATGCATATTTCTCAAATTGTGAGAAACAACGGTACCATAGACCATCGAAGTTTGAATGACATAATATTCCTATGAATAGGGCATGTGGAAGACAAATTTTAATATTTGGGAAATTTGTTTTTATTATCGATGTCCCGATTTTTGTAGAAACTTTACCGATTTTGATTAACACTCAAGGATTTTAAAGCGAGCATGCAACGTTGTGCAGAAAAAAAAACATTTTTATCTCCAGCAAGAAGACTCTGTATAAGCAATTCTAAAGATATGGTCATTAAATTTTTGGCGATATTCTCTTGCTGAATTTTTTTGTTAAGGCTAAGGCGTCAATTAATAATAAGTAACGACAAAATGTTAAAAAAACGCCCCCTTTGGACGTAATTTAAAGACTGAACCTTCAAATCTTTTCTTTTTTACTTCCTTGTACGAAGAAAAAAGGAATATTGTAATGCGAAAAGTTTCAGGCAGAATTTCAACGAAAATATCCATTTTGACGCTATCGAATGCAATTTATCGATTTTTTGTGTGATATCTGTCGAAGGACAGAATAAGACTCGTTTCCTCCAAAAAAATTATAAACTGCTTTAAAATGAATTCGAGAGAATTTTTCGTGGGCTGTACGAACGTATGTACGTAGTCGATCTCGCATAACTCAAAACGAGTAGCCTCAGACGTTGAAATTTTGTATAGAACTGGCTATAACATTAGATGTGCACCTCGTAGTGGTTCAATCGGCCGCGCCAAACGTATAAAATAATTTATATGTAGCCACTCTGTTACCCGGCTCATGATCTGAGTTTATTTACTCAATATTTGTAAATTACGTTTTTGCTTTAAAAGGATTGAATACGTTTTTTATTTCCGGTTACGTTTTTATGCCTTAGTAAACTGTATGCAAATTTTAGTATATCAACAATTTAAAAGTGTTAAGTGCGCAAGCCTTTTTTTGGCGGCATTGAGTTTGCTTTGAAACACAGACTAGTGATTTTGCAAGCTAGAAAAACTTACTTCGCAACGACAAGATAGCGCCTTCTTTATTCTTGCTAATTAAATAATGATTACTCCTTTTGAATTTTTCGAGAATATGTTGAATATTTACTCGTAATGTTTAATATGATCTTTTGTTTTTATGTATTTTTGCCTTTCGCGATGTGATAACTAATTAATAATGAGAAATACTCAATCGTTGTGAAACTGTTTCTTTTTTGGTTTGCTTAATTTCTTTTAACATCTTCTAGCTTATAGAGTATTGAATAGAACATTGGCAACGATTCGATCATTCTATTCTTAAATGATATAAATTTTGTGCATATGAGTATAATAGAACAAATATTTAATTAACTGTTATATAATCTTGATTATATACGTAACTCGTTTCCGTTATATAAGTATAATAAGTTAACTGTTTATATATAATACGTAATGCATTAGGCCATAGTGTGCTTGGTACAATACTAGAGTAATTTTGAGATGCATTTATTTATTTGTTTACGCGCGTCGGCGAGTAATTTAATTCAATCCAATAGTTTAAATAAATGCAGAAAAAATTTAATAATTAATATTGCGTACAAGGAAGTCATGTGGTGTACACATCAGATTTTTTACTTCCAATAATTCTCTCATCTCAAATAGTCGGATATTTTCTGACTTTCAATAATTCGCCCAGAAATCAGAAATTTCGTTAAAAATGAATATAGATGCAGAAATTCATGTCAGCATTAAATTCAAAAATAATTAAATGATATTTTTATAAAACTCGTTTTAATATACTATATTATCATCCACAATCAATATGTTTGCAAATTTTGAACTCGATAGCTTATCAGGAAGTAGTTTAAAAGTTTTTGATGATCTTCGTTTCATAGAAACCAATAACATGAGTTAATTGAATATGTGCTACTTCTAAAGAGAAATATTATTTTGTTTGAAAGAGGTCATCAGAAGAATTTTTGCATATTTTTAAATACTTGATAAATATAACTACTTATACTTGTTTATGAGATTTGTTGTCATTATGTAAAAATTATTTTGTATAAAATATATTTTCGCCTCTCCACACTTAATAATCTTATCACCACTCTGATAAATGGAAGGTTATGAGAACCAAACATTGAGTAGGTACTCATAAATCTGATTAATAAATGCCATAAAAATACAACTCTTCATATTTGAGTAGAATGTTTTAGCTCCTGATGGAAAGGAATGTGTGTGAGGTTGATCTGGTAATCAGTAGAGTTTTATACCAATGTAAGGTTTTTTAGCCCAAACGCCGTTAGCTCAGAAGGGCTGTTAATTTCGTTTTGGTATTCTGCGTTTGATTCACTATAAATGGTGAATCACTGTTTAAATTGTTGCTACCAAATATTAGAGCCTTGTATTATATTTAAAGAAATTAATTAATGAAGAATCTGCATAAATGTATGTAAGTAGTACCAGCTTTTGTCGTATCTTAAATCTCGACGAAAGTTTTAAAAACAGGATCCGTTTATTCATTTCAGGAAAAATAGCAGTTCAAATCAATATCCGAAGGTAAATAAAAAAATCTAAAACTTTTTGTATGAAGTTTACTGCATCTGACATTAAGAAAAGCCCTGATATTCTTTTGAGAGTCCTTTTATAGCCTCTGGAAAGGCGGACTTTCAAGAATGACGTCAGCCTGTCAGCCAATCCGTTCGCTTTAAATTTCAGAACATCTAGAACTGTACGTGTAGAAAAGGCGGGAAAAAAAAACTTGACTACGGGCTGGGAAATTCACGACTTCAATAGAAACATCGCCGTAAAATGAAAAGAACATACAGTTAGAATTTAGTGTATCTGATTATGGAATTTTATTATTACATGTATGTATGTTTTTCGATTTGTGATAAAACAACGGTACACACAGCCATCGAATGTTGAATGATCTAGGCTTATGAATATGGGATCTGGAGCCGATTCGGAATTTGTTTTATTATCCTTTTCACATTCTTTAAAACTTTCACAAATTTCTGATTGCCATATAGAGACATTAGGTATACTTTTGGAAAACGGAGAGGTGAAAAATGAGCAAGCGCCTTCGCCGGGAATCGAACCAGGGCCTCTGGATTACCGGCCCAGCGTGCAGAACCACGAACCACAAGGGCACGAGGAAAGGGGAGAAAACCTTATATATTCCCCTTTTCAAAGGGGATGGGATTTAGGGGACCCGTCGCCAATCCCTGTGGGGAGAATCCCACCAACACATTTTAATCGTGCGCCATTGTAGAGACATTAGGTAATTTTGGAAACGAGAGATGAAATGAGAAACCCCCTTCGCGGGGAATCGAACCACGGACCTCTGGAATACCGGCCCAGCGTGCAGAACCACTGCACCACGAAGGCACGCTGGGAAAGTGGGAGAAAGTTGCCTTATAGACAATCTCAACGATTTTAAAGACAGCAACGCTGTATGGGAAAAAAGTTATATCAAGCTCGCGAGACTGTGTATCGAAATTTCTAAAGATATGTTCTATTTAAATTGTTTTATGATATTGCTGTTGAATTGAATTTTATGATTTAAGTATAAAAAATTATATTTAATAAATAAAGGCAACACGCAAAACGTTAAAAACGTACCCCTCTGAACGTAACATAAAATCTGAAAGCTTTCATATTTTATTTATTATTATTTCTTGTTTTGTTCTTGCCTCTTTTTCAGTTTTTCATGTGTACATTAAAAAGCTTTGCTGCCTAAAATGTTAATAGCTTTAAAATATTCGCAGTCTCATGCAATTTGATATTTACATGCTTTTACCTTACGATTCCTTTAAATTGTATTCAATACAAGCGGATTTAATTTATTTGGATTATGACGAGGCACGCGATTGTTTACCTGCCAAAGAGGGAGGAAACTTTCTAAGGGGATCTGGCTTCTATTCACGTTGCACTTGTAAAACAGCAAAGAAATTTTGCGGGCAACCAGCTCCTTCGCCAGGATTTGAACCCGTGTCGAACTACTTATGCTCATCGATTTTAGATGCTCTGCCACTGGGGATCCGGAGCCTTATTTAAAATATTGTTTTGAAATCTCCTATCCTGATTAAGTGTGATAGATGTCATAGTATGAGGGTTAGGGTTATTTGAATACAGCGAAGCACACGAGAGCTATCGGCCTTCTTGGAGCCCTTTATGCAGGAAATGGCCATGTTGCACAAAAAGAAAACCAAATAGGCAGGAATCCAGTTGGTTCGTTTGGCTTCGAACCTAGGTCGAACTCCCAGTATTCAACGATCTTAGCCATCTAACCACTGGTGAGGCCGTAAGGGTAAAATAAATATTACCGCAATGTTCTCTGTGATATCTAACAAATAAGTAAAATATATTTTATTTCATAAATAATCTTGACTTCATTTTAAAGTTTTTTATGCTAATGATTGATACAATTATGTGGCGCAATTAATGCAATTGTGCATTATATTAGTCTTAGCACTCCATTTTTCTCGAACAAAATTTTGCATTCAAGCAAGCAAAAGAAATTGAAATAAATTTATATTGTATTTAAAACAAATAAATGAC